AATATTTACAAATTATTATGTAAAAAATTAAAAAAAGATATTGCGATTAAAATTAATACATATATAATTGTTAAATAATAACAATGAATTATTAATAATTGAAATATAAATGAGAGATATGATATTTATATAATCGTTTATGTTGCGTACAAATATTTAACGAAAAAAAAAAAATAAATTTATATAAAATGTTTAACACATACTAGTAATTATACAATTGTTGAAAAATTATTAGCAATATTTAATTATAGTGCAAGCATGTTTCTACGATCACGTTATTTATATTGTGACCTTTAATATATAAATTTATTTGTCTCTTTAGTCTTTTAAAGCTTACGTTTCTGCGCGAGCGTGCTCGGGGTCTTTCACTCCGATACCGCTTTTACCGGTTTTCCCAATTAATTGTTTTCCCGCGGTAACATTTAATTTAAAAGCATCACGAGAGCAGCCCGTAATTCGAAATACATCGACAAATTGAACCACTCGCTCTTGTATCACGGTCCGACAGAGAATCACGTGGGCGAGGAGCAATCGGCGTTCCGACCGGTCTTGCGGTTCCAGTTGTATCTATTGAAATTACCGTCTAGCGGATTGGCAAGTGTGATGGTGCGGCTAACGGGAGAGCCTCCAATCAGCAGGTAATTGCTTCATTCCGTTGGGCAAGGCCTGCCCAATATTGTGGCCCCCTGAGCTAAGCTCCGACGCGCCGAGGCGCTGCTCCCAAGTAGTAGATACAGGCGGGAATGGATACGCCAACTTTTACCTCGGGGCTCTTGATCGATCTCCGGTCGGTGATGTATATTCTCGCTTCGCCGTGAAGCGGCGAGATGGGTCGACGAGCGCGGGGATATATAAAAGAAAAGCATCCTCCGCGCGCGTAAGCATCTTCGCGACGCGGAATTAAATTCAAGCGGACAAGCAATGCACGCGGGTGAAACATCAAACGCGACAACGTCCCCGGTTGTCGTTGTCGTCGGCTCATGAAATCATAATGGGGAAAAAGCGGGCGCTTTAATAGCGACATTTTTAAAGGGGCAACCTTAACGGGGGGCGACACGTAGAACAGACATAACGAGCAAGGGGGAAGCAACAACGACGGCGACGGAAGCAGTGGCGACAGTGGCGGCGGCTTCAAACGTTTCCCACATGATACTAACCCCCCCCCGGTTCTCGGGAGGACGGCTTTTCCTTTTCGCGTGCAGTTCAGAACGTTGGATCGGAATTAATGAACCGTAATCCCCCAATAATGAGGCTTCGGCTTCACTGGCTCCGATACGACCTCGCCGAACCGTCCCTCGCAACCCCCGACCGTGCTTCGGTCTCTCTTTCTCTCTCTCGTCTCTCTTCTATGCTGCACACGTGCGCACGCCGACGTACATATGTGCTCGCGTAAATGTCACACATACGCCGGGACGGACACCTACGTTACACCTGCGTGGCGCACAAGGCCTCGGGGTTCGAGATTGTCGACGCGAGACAAATTATCCTTGCCGGAGAAGCACGCGTCGATGCCGTTCACCGCGCGCAAACCAGCGCGCGGATCGACAATTTTTCTCACACGAGAGAATACAACGCACACGCGATTTGACACGCATCGCGCCAGCTGCTCGCAAAATTTGACGCCCCGAACTTTTTGTTTTTTTACGTCAAGGTTGACCTCGAGCTCTTGTTGATATCTAGAGCGTGCGATGCGTTCAGTGAACTTCAAGTATTTGCGCAGTTGATTCTTTCAGGTGAAGTTTTTTTCACCTGATTGTTTTTGTTTTTGTTTTTTCTTTTTTTTTATTTTGGTTTTTGTTTTTGTTTTTTTTTTTAATCCGAATCAAAGAGAATCTCTCTTTTTCTCGATTTTGTTTTCGCATTTGTAAAATTCAGTCGAAAAAAGAATGAAATATTTAAAAAAATACAATAATAATTATAATAGAGATAAATTATATGTACACACACACACACAATCTTATGATAACATTATCATAATGTTGTAAACAAGCGAAACGTTTTAATCGCTGTGCTCTCGCGCTTAAAAAGCAACGCCAACATCTACCGCAAAGCCGAAGAGGAAAAAGAGAGGAGAAAACTCGCTTCGCGCAAAACTCCCGATATTAGTTGTAGTTACGGTAAACGCGAAAAGTTACATCCACTCCCCGGAACTTTTATGCCTTTGTAAACTGCAGCTGGTCGCTGATTTTCTCGCGACGCTCGCGGTTATACGCGCGTTTGACCTCGTTCGAGCTCTGCGCGGCCGCAAATGAAACTTTTAATAGTCGACGTAGTCGCGCCGGCCGAGCCCTTCAGCGCTCGAAAACGCCAAACGCAACGGCGCGTCCGTCGCACTCGTTGCCGACGGATAAAAATCGCGATTTAAAAAAAACTCAAAGAAAGCCGCCGCCGCCGTCGTCGCCGTCGCTGCCGCAGCGTGGACTTTCAACCTCTATCTCGCGTGGCAAGTTACGTAGTTAACCTTGCGGAGTCTTTAACCTTGCAGCGTTGGATTATCGACTCGTTATTACGCCGCGCACGAGTTCCAAGGTATACGTACGATTAGAATCGCGAGAAAGAGTCGACTTTATTCTCTTTCATCTCTTTGCTCCTTCCATTCACTCTTATTCACGTGTAACATTTTCATCGGACAGATATTAGAGAAAAAGTTACTTTCGCTCTTCTCTGAAAAAATACGCGATTAGATTCTCGCTCGCGCTTATTTTCAACTTGGAGCGTTTTTCGAGCAAAAGCGCGAGAGAGAATTGAAGAAACAATATTTTCTCTTTCCCGAAAAGCAGCTGCTCCCGCGGCGATTTTGTTTGATGAACACTCGTTCGAAGTCCAAAACTCTACGCAGGAGGGAAGAGGGAGGGAGGGAGGAAAGCAAAAATAATAAAAGCAAAATTCGGCGCGACGACGCGCGAGCGTGTGTTTCTGACAGCATCAATTGGCGTCGCGCAAAATCTGCCCCTCTCTCTTTCGCCTCTCTCGGGGGGAGAGCATTTAACGTGGCGTACACACCCACGGCAGTGCGCGTATTACCCGCGGGGGTGTCGAAGCGGAGATCCCGGGCTCTGCGTGCGGCACACCGTTGAAAATGTCGGCTTGCCTTTGAAGCCGCCGAGGCGACGTCTCGATCGATCTAATAGGAACGGGACACGATGTATCACAAAGTGACGTTCCGTGGAAATCCGTCGGGTGGATACGCCGCGTTGCCGGTCCGATTCTGACGGTGTTCTCTCGTCGTTAAATTACAAGCAATTGCGCGCCAGGCGGGAGTGCGAGCTTCGTTGATGAATAACGGCCTAGAACCTTTTGTGGAGAATTCTCGCGGTTAGTGAAGACGGTCGAGTGAGTATCGATATACGCCCTAGTTGTCGTCAATGCGCGTAACAACCGCGCGTTGCAAATTGAATTTTGGACTTGAATTATGGACTTCGTCCATTATATTTCTTTATTTTATTATTCAGAGATTTTAGGATTTGCGGAATCAGGATTCACACCGTGCAATTTCGAGGGAGTAAATCTCCTTTGTCTATATATTTCACAATTCGATTAAAATGATTTCTTATTTATCGAAAAAGTCACTCACAATTTAAAAGTTTCACAATTTGATATTCTCTTTAACCTTGTGTAAAATTTTTAATTGATCGCAAATTGATACCAGATCCCGACAGGCTATCAACAGATTTCTATATGACACAAGCGCGTTAGTTGTAATGTAATATTTCAAGCATTTCGGGAAATAAAACAAGAGAATACGCCTATTATAAATTGTTCTGTCACACGTTTTAAAATATATAGGCGTGAAGATTTGTTTTCCATTGTGTAATAATTTCTGGTTGCGACAGACGCGCGATTGTATGTGCAAGACCTTCGCGCGTATAAAAGGAAGGATCGTCCATCATCGATAACATCGATTTAATGTCAATGCGCAAATCACAAACCAGTTAGCGCGAACGTTTCGCGCGAATCGGAGTTTGTAACCGCGACTGAAATCATAGAATTTGAAAACTGAATCGAAATTGTGCGAATCGAAACAAAATTGCGCGAGCACTTTTATTACGACACGTGCTCTTATTTCGTTGTTAATTATTTTACGCCACCGAGAAAGACAGATATTGCACACAAGAAAACAAATGAGAAAAGGAGAAGCCAGAAAAGATGCACAACGAGAGAGAAGCGGCACACACGAAGTGCGGCATGCGAAGTCGCGTGACCGGAGCTAAAAGTCTCGCGTTACGCAAGTTTGTAACATTACAACCGTAATGTAAACTCGGGAAACACGCAGCCGGCATTTGCATTGATAACGTGAATATAATGTATCACCGGGAACCCGAAAGCCGAGCTTTTCTCCACAACCACAATGCCCACTGACCACCTGTTGCCTTTCCATTTATATTTTAGACGCCGTGAGAACGTCTACATCGCCTTACATATCCTCGCCTCAAAAAAATTCTTCTTTTTTTTGTTCACGAAAAATGATTGCGAGTCGCTTCTTCGTCGTGTGTTGTCGAGTTCTTCCGTTCATTATATAACATTGTAAATTTGCTTCGCACACGGCACGAGAATTGTATTATTAATATTATTCTTCGTTATGCTTGTATATTTGTTGTTTGTAAAGCGACTTATATGCCGTGTAATGATGTGACTTTACGTGACTTTAATATCTCCTGAATTTTTTACCAAAATTTGTGTTGCATAAATCAGAAAGTGATTTTTAAATAATTACAAATATGTGTAAATGCGCAAATATTTGCGCAATTCTCTATGATTTAGTTACGGAAGTAAAATAGTTTAGATGATTCTCAGTTTATTACTAATTGTTAAATTAGTTTCTTCCGATCTCGCGCGTCCGATCTCACGTGTCGTAAATTATGTGGCACGTGAAGTTAAGGTCGTTGAAATTATGTGTGGGGTTGTCGCGCGCGCGTTGTAAAATTAACAACGAGTCGTGATAAGTCTCGGTATAGTTATGAGAGATTGAAAAATCAAGTCATCTGCATTATCTGTTGCAGGGTGCATCATCTAGCATAGTGGTGAAGTTCGCAGACACTGATAAAGAGAGACAGCTAAGACGCATGCAGCAAATGGCCGGGAACATGAGCCTCCTTAACCCCTTCGTCTTCAATCAGTTCGGCGCTTACAGCGCTTACGCTCAGGTAGGTCGTGTTACCGTTAATGGCTCTCGCGTTACCGCATTACCGCCTTGTTGTCCTCGTTACCGCGACTCACAATCTGCGATGGCTCGTTCCTCGTTACTCTCGGAAACGATCGGCCGAAACTCGATGCCGCCACGTTAACGCCGGCATGCAAAGGGAGAGGTCCGTCGCAATCACTTTTCGCGGTTTAATTTTACAAAGCTGCTAGTACCTCTCCGGCGTGTAAAAATAAATTCTTTCAAAGACTATTGTATTTTTTTCTTATTATAATTATAACGACAGTGTGTATATTTTTTTTTAATTAAAATGTCAAAATTTTTAACAGAAAAGTAAACTGCGGCAAAACATTTTGCCGTTTTTCGAATTACAGAGCCAAAGCGTGTAAATAACCGAAAAAGACAAATAATTTAATTTAATAATTTAATCAAAGTATTAATTTAATTAAAGTTACGTAAAAAAGAGACAAGAAGTATCATGTTATTGCAGCAACAAGCAGCGCTTATGGCAGCCGCAACTGCACAAGGGACATACATCAATCCAATGAGTGCTTTGGCCGGACAGCTGCCGCATGCATTGAACGGCATGCCAAATCCCGTTGTTCCGCCAACTTCCGGTAAGTTTCTAGTCTAGTTGAGGAAATTAGCGCTCAGTCGATTGCGGATAGTTACAAAAAAAAAAAAGAAAGAACGACTTGTCGATTTTCAATTTTTTTCTGATACAGATTGCTCCACATTTTGTGTTTTCTTTTAAAAAAATACAAATTTTTTTATTAAATATCGAGGAAGAACTTCCCGATAGACAACTCGTGTACAGATACTTCGTTTCCATTTATTTTTGGCTATTATTTATTTTCCGAATACACGAATAGACATTTTTTTACAATTTTCCCGTTTTTTAACAACTCGATTGTGTATATTTGAAGTTCGTTCGCTGTTCAGTTAATTTGTAACATCGCGAACTGCGATACAAAATGTAATATGTTGCACACAACCGTGTACAATATTAATAAAAACGTGTGTGCGTCGCGCACAATACGTTAGTATTGACAACAGTTTGCAAACTGCTGCGCTATGCTCCTATATGTGAAATATATATACATATGTATGTATTTTTTTTTAAGCCAGATTAATCAATCCCGAGTTAATCAACTAACAGCATCAATCCGGTAAAACGCGCACTTTAGCAAACAGGANACATATATATATATATATATATGTACGTATATATATGTATATATGTATATATATATATATATATGTATGTATTTTTTTTTAAGCCAGATTAATCAATCCCGAGTTAATCAACTAACAGCATCAATCCGGTAAAACGCGCACTTTAGCAAACAGGAGGGAAACACATTCGAGGGCACATTTGAAAATTATCTACCATCAACCCGATAGCGCCGTCCGATTTCAGTGATACGGAACGTCCCTCCCGGTTTCGCCATTCTTGCTCGGTTCGCTTCGCGCAGCTCTCCGGGATTCTCGCGACAAGCGAGGCATACAGTCGGTTGCTTTATAACCGGACTCGTAAATCAATACAACATTTTCATCGAACGTGACTCGAGCGAGAGATATTGCCGGTACCGCGAAACTTTATCGAAAGCCCCCGTTGCGAAGGAAAAGCCAAAGAAACGCCTCTTCCTCGACCTATCTCGCTTACACCGTTCTCCTTTCTTTTCGCGTTCTCTTCTTCTCGCGCACCGCGGCGATATAAGATGGGGGGAGGTGAGGAGACCGAAGTGCCGTAGAAAAGTAAAGTAAGCGCGGAAATCGGCTCCGTTATACGTCGAGTCTCGTCGAGCGGAAGGTAATACCGTTTGATAGGGAAATAATATTTTATTTCCACACTCCGTGGGCGCCAGCGCCTCGCCGCGTCCATCCGCTTTATTTCGTATCGAAGATTACCGAAGCAGCGGGCTTTTATTTCCGACGCGAAACGATGCTACAACCGCAAACTACCCCGCACACACACACACACACACACACACACACACAGAGGGTGGCACTTGCGGAAAAATCCGCGGTGTTTCGAAATATTAACTCTGTGACTCGGTCTTCGATCAACAATTGCATTTATTTTCAAGAATCCGCGCGCGCAAAGAAGATCTAACAATTACATATTTTTCTTTCCCCGATGTGAAAATCGCGATGAAATTATTTGACAAAATAGATTGAATGTTTCGATAAGTTTCGTTGTAGCAAAAAACGCTTGTCGTAGCTTTGCCGAGTTCATATCACGCGTGACGTGTTTTGAGTCACAGCGCGTCGAGCGCGGTATTCTCCACCGTAAAAATCTCACCTTATACGAACCGCTCGAACTACTACCTACTCAAATCAACAACGTCGAAGCGCATATTGTGCAGTCACCGGAGTTTAAGTTTACGACGTATCGTCATATCCGACGTGCGCGCATCCGACTACGAACAAGGATGCAGTGTAATCTGACGTTATATCGGGATTTCTTCTTCGTTCCGGACTTCGACCTTTCCGTAGACACACATAAACACACACACACACCCACACTTTCTCTATCCGGATGTATAATATTAAAATGTCAATGCTCTTTTTGTTTTTATCTGATAGTTCGAGTTTATACAATGTGTCTTTGAAAAAGTTTAAAATTCACATATCTCTTATCGCGCGAAGACAACAATGTATGTTTTTGATTTTTCAAACACCGATCGATTTAAACACACACACACACACACACACACATGTGCGCAGCAAAGAGTCTGAAAAGTTCTCTGCCTCTAGCACGTAAGGTCTCTTTGTGAGGATAAACATTATTTTTTAGCATCTCTTTGTGTCAACACATTTTACACATAGGGTTGTGTATCATCGGGATATTGTCGCTGCGCCCATGTTCCCTTATACGAACATTTCCCGTAATCGCATGCTAAATTGATAGAAATAACAGATATCGTGCAAACATAGTTATGTCCCATTACCGAGCAATATTGACGATACCGAGTGTTGGTCACCGGCCGCGTTATTAACATGACGGTGAGGCTTTGATCGCTGATCCGAATCACATCATTGACACAGACAGGGGACGAACTATTACCGGCAAACACGACCTTTTCGCGTAAACTTCATCGCATATCAAAAACAAGCTTATAGTCGTAGCGTATAGCGGTATCACGTGCGATCGTGTATTACGTGAAAGTTGCGACGCATACAAGATTGCGCAGAGAGAGAGAGAGAGAGGGAGGGAGAAGAAAAAAAGAGAAACACGCGACATTAAACACAGTCCTTTGACCATCGAGTCGACCAGCTCGACGATGTTATCTCGAGACTCTGATCTAGGGATCAAATCAACAAGCCGACGTAGTCAGTAGTTCGTCCGACTCATCAAACGCTGCGCGAGGCATACGGATCATTAGCGGCCTTTTCCCCCGGAGCGTCTGGTAATTACATCCAACTCAGACAGAAAGAGAATGAGAAATGAGAAAAAGGCGGAAAAAGAGAGGGAGATGATACGGGAGGGAGGGTAGGGGGAGATAGAGAAGGTGTGTAGTGTGTATCCGAGATGCCTCGCGCAAGCAAAACGGCGGAGGTCAATGTTGAAGAATCAAGAGTGTAATCGGTGTGTACTGATCAGATCTGCTCGTAGGTACCAGCACAGGGCAACAGGTTAACGGGGCGATACCGTCGTTACCGTCGCCGACGATGCCGAACTTTAACATGGCACAGACACCGAACGGCCAGCCGGCGGGCTCGGATCCAGGTGTCTACACCAACGGGATACCGCAGACTTACGCGGGACGTGAGTATCAACTCAGGCGCAGCGCGCCGCCCCTGCGCAATGCCTGGCCAATCCGCGACGGACTTTATTATTCCGCGGGGGATGTAAATAACTTTCGCGCAGGCCAAGTACACCGGCGAGTACGCCAGGCGGTACTTGGCACGTCGTACTTCCTTCCTCTGAGAACGAGGAGAAAGCCCGTTACATTCGTCGGCGTTTATTTGCGAGGAACGCCGGAGTTACGACTAACTTCATACGTGTGGGAGGCGAGGGGCGTGGAGTTCTACAATTTCCCATTAAGCGCAAGATTTACGTTTTATAATTGAATTTCTAAGTCATCATTCGTTCTTCGCGAGAGACTGTCTCGCGAAGTCAGAGTAATTGTTGACTTTATTAAGAAAAGACCACACACACAAAGAGAGAGAGAGAGAGAAAGAAAGATCTTTTCTCACGTATATATCCTGTAGACTAAACTCTTGATCTTTTCAGTTTTACAAAAAAAAAAAAAAAAAAAAAAAAATTGAAATGACTCGGAATGGCGATGAAAGATTAAGTTGATCTTGATCGTTGAAAAAATCGCGAGATTGTTTATCACACGATCGTTATTCATATTTCACGACAAAGCGAGTTATTTTCTTACATTCCGCGTTTTCGATTAACCTTTGGCCTTTATCGTCATTCGGATAGTCATTAACGGGTGTATGGTCGCGCGGAAACTATCGAGCGATATCGATTGGCCTACTGGATATTGCGACAGGGGTCTCTAGGCTAGGACTTCCCCCGATAAGAGCTGAGCTTACTGAAGTGTAGATGCCCTTCATCTGTCCATTCCAGCGCAGGGACTGCCCAACGGGGAGGCGGCACTTCAGCATGCCGCCGCGTATCCAGGAATGCAGGCTTATGCTGGAGTGGCCGGTAAGTGTGTTTCTGCAGCTACAACTTTTATCTACCGGCTTGTCAAGGTGCTGTCTACCCTGTCTCCGTGTCTTCTTCCGCGCGATAAATCGTGTAGCGCGTATTTTCGTTTGTATTTCAGTGCTCCATCTAAGCGAATATCACCGGTATTATCAATGTAAAAAAAAAAAAAAAAAAAAAAATAGACACGTCAGATTAGTAAGATCGACGGGCGTGTATTTATATTCCTCGTTCGCAAAGAGTTTCGCTCGTCGATAACGAATAAAAAATTAAATTCTTTTCTCAAGAAAAACGAGAATTTTTTTACCGTTACATATGTGTATTGTATACATTTTTATTACGGGGCGCAGTATCGATCGTTGTTGCAACTAAAAACGAACGGGAAGCGCAACGCAGAGCTTCTCCTCTGTAAACAAAATTAAGTCAAGAACGTGTACTCTTCGCCAGCCGCTTCGAAAGTTTCATAAACGTTTTGCATTATCGCACGCGCGCGCGCGCGCGTGTTCGAAGCCGTCTCTGCATCGATTTTTAACGCGCGCGCCTAGATAACACACTTCGCGCACTCTCATCTCGCCCGGATGTTGCCTATCGCGATCTCGAGCGCGGATCGAAAGCCGGCGCGCTCTTTTCGCGCGCGCGCGCGCGCGTGTTCTCGTCGACACGGGATGAGAGAAGACCGAGGATAGGTCGGTTCGAAGATCATCCGTAACGCGTAGGGAAAATGTATCACAGAAACGTTCAACGTTTACACGCTTTTATCCGGGCGCCGTCGGTGCACTTACCCTGCGAAAAATTCGATTTCGCTGAAATCGCGTTGCTGGTTGTTTGCATGCATACTATGGCCGCATGCGTATACACACACACACACACACATATATATATATATATACATATATTTAGATATAGACACCTACTCGTACATGGATTATACACACCACACGCACACACATATAGAGACACACACACCACACACATACATAATCGTGTGCGCGTCAACGTTTCGTTCTATAATGCTTCTGCTATGGTGCTACGATATGTACTTTGATGTCCTTCTAAATGTACTTCGTGTACATATCGATATTGTAGTTTTATACGTTTACACGTCTTACTATCCGTGCATGCTCTTCTCTCCCTCATCATCGACGTCAACACTACGGTGTTCATCCGCCATCGACCGTCGATCGACGAATCGGCACTGCGGCGTGTCAAACTGCAGCAAATATATACGCACCGACGCAAATGTGACGCAATAACGTCCCCGGCAAAATGGATGATCTTGTTTTCACGGATAATTAGCGTCTCGATGTGTGCGTGCGCGAACGCGCGCGCGCGCTTGTGTGAACTTACATTTCTATTACATTCCAATTACGGGCACGTTAATGAGAGCGTGTTTAACGAATTCCGCGAGTGCGTTCGCGCGAAAGATACGTCGCGTTGGTTGGTCGATCGAACATCACTTTGCGCTATCTGAAAACGCGAGTGAGGGTGAACAGAAACGAAGTCAAAACAGACATGCGCGCGCGCGGGAAATATTACTTATTATTTTTTTCCGAGAAGCACTTGCTAATTAATTCCCTCTTCGCATCTCTCAACGTTTGTGCGCGCCGTTCATCGGAAATGCGGAAGCTCGACAAATTTGCGTCATAACGCATACGCGCGCTCGCGCGCGCGCGCACATATTTGCCGAGGACTCGAAAGTGGTATATTTTTTTCTATGTATTTTTGGCCAGTATACACACGCGTCATCGAGATCAGCGAGTGGAAAAAAAGCAATCCCGAATAACCGGTGCACCTCTATCTGAACGTGACGCGGCCCGACGTATGATGGCGTATTTATTTCATACGCCCAAACGTTGATCCATCGGACGCGCGTTAACCGGGGGGGGGGAGGGGGGAGAGGAGGGCCCCGGGTAACCGTCAATCGGAATATATTAAAGCGATGTTTGCACGGAAATAATTAATTCCGGAGCGCGCATAAAATTCGCCTCTGCCGATCTGAGAGGGCGGCGCGCGCAATACTCCCGCCTATCCGTCACAAACAGGTATCAATCACGAGCGTTTTAAATATTTATCAAGCTATAATTAATAACGACGTACTTGCGCCTTCTGTCTCGTCGCGTGTAGCGAGAGCAATAATAATGCCTCACCCGCTATATACAGCCGCGCGCCAAATTTACACACGCCACTATAACCAATTGTCGTTCTATCGCGAATTTAAACATATCGAGCATTTTCATTTAACGTTGAAATGTTTTCCGCATAATATATATTCGACGGAAATAATACATCGGCTGTTTATATATTTATTCCTGGTTATTCCTTTTTTTTTTTTCTGCAATTATTTATAACCGAGAGATATAGAAAACAAGATGAAAAGCAAAATTCTCGTTGCAATCAATTTCGTCGAGCTTCTCTTCGAGATTTCTGGCTTTTATTACATTTTCATTGCCGTTGCACAAATAATGACGTTACGCATTAAAACCGAAAAGGTAATCGAATTGCCGCGTCGCGACGCAAAAAAGCTCGATTAGAGTTCGCGGCGGCTTTATCGGACTCGTTGAAACGCGATATCGCGCAAACGTTATTACGCGACAATGTGTCTTCTATGTGTATTTCGAAAAAGCTTATTCCGTGGGAATCGCGTGTCTTGCGACGCGTTTCGTTTTATACGCTTCGCGTATCGGACACGACGAGAACGACGACGACGACGACGACGACGACTGCTTCTCTCAATTGCTCAAATATTTAGTTTCGCAAATTGCAATAGGATATTCCGCGCAGCGCTGCGCGGATAATTCTCCCGTCGCGCTAAGAAGGCATTTCGTATCCCGTTTTAATGAGGCGAGGCTCTTCAAAGTCGGATCGGCTTTGAAGAGGTATCGGGTGTCGGCTAATACCGCGTGCGCGCGCGTTTTCACGGACCGAGCACAAAAGTATCGTGTTGAAAGTCGCGCGGAACGATGAGAACGTTGAGAGACGAATACCCTTGTCGTTGGGATAGAAACGACGGGCCGCGTGGAATGAATCGTCGCCGCGCGCGCGAGACGAAAACCGTTGGTTCGTTTGTCGACGACGGACGAGTCGCTTTTCTCGCTCGCAGAAAAGACAAACAGGATAAAAACGCAATTTCCATATCTCGATCGCGAGATTATCGTTCGAGAAATAACAGATTTTTGAGCGAAGATCGTTATTTTACTTTTACGTAGTTAATTAACGTAGTTAATTAAGCATTTATGTTGCAAACTTCAGCTATTTTGCATCAAGAGGCAAAAATTACAAATTAAAATAATAAATTTGTATTCTTTTCTTGAGAGTTGTTTTTTTTCGGTGTCAAAGTGATTATTATTCGAATATCTCGCGTGTGTAATCCAAATTGTACATCCGACAGTTTTTTTTGCAAAAGAGACGATTTCTTCTCTCGCGTGCGCTTTCTCATTTAACAATTCTCTTAACGTTGACGCATTGACCTTCCTCCGTCTCGTCGTTGACGAGTCTTCGGCAAATCGCGAGAATAAATATGGACATCCCCCCCTTCATCGCGTCGCGGGTGCTTCTCGAAACGCGCGGTCATAAATTACACCGTTGCAATCTGTCTAGCGATGGCGTACGCAATTTCTGTTGAATCTGTTGACGTTTATTGGACTGTTCGGCTTTTATTACTGTCATCGTCCATTATGTATGCGCTATCGCTGCATTGAATTACGACGCCTACATTCGTTCGGGAGGGAGGGAGGGAGGACAACGGTGTGGGTTGTTGTGCCGATCTCGTTGAGCTGTTGTCCCTCTTACACCGTCGACGACGGGTCGACAGCGGATAGTCATCGTGCGAGAAGAAGAAAATGACAAAAAAAAAAAAAAAAAAAAAGAAAAAGAAAAAGAAAACAACAAGAAAAAAAAAGAAAAAAGAAAGACCGAGGGAGAGATTATAAAAGGGTGGAACGAAATATAAGCAGTGGCACGCACAGATCTAGATGTGGACAGATCATGATGTACTTGTTATTTGTTATTGTCGCAGCTTACCCAACCGTCTACGGCCAGTTTCCTCAGGCTATTCCTCAGCCGATACCCCCGATGGCGCCAACGCAGAGGGAAGGTAAGTACAACACGCTCATCAACGTCTGACTGTTGACTGTAAACACGAACGACTGTAGATCCGAGATTGTAGACCTACATCCCGTACACACGTCCAGACACGAATTATCCCTCGTCGGCGTTCAACGAGGTGCAACTACTACCGCGGTAGTTTCGACTTTCACCCTGTCGCCAACGCCGCCGTCGCGCTGCCGCATCCGCTCGCTCGCTGCAGCAACAAGCCCGTTACCCATCCAACGTTAATTCCGTAGCTCTCTCTTGCAAATAAAGCAGCGTCGCGTCGTGAGAGTCGATTATGCGAGCAAACGAGCGGGAGATATAACCGCAGGAATCAATTCGCAGCGTGTTTTTGCTCTCTCTCGCTCTCTCTCTCTCTCCCATTCGTTTCTCTTTGCTCCCCTTTTCCCACGTCACACACCCTCGGTTTAATTACGATACTGCGATTACTTAAAAATGCCAAAATCCCGCGTCAAGAGAGAGCCCTCTGTATTCTGATTTCGCGAACGTCGTGTAATATTGACAGGTTTCTTTTTCATCGGAAAGGGTTTAACGGGGAGACCGGAGTATTCACATTTCCGATTTGCAGCGATTTTGGGTTTCGTGGTCGCGAGCGAAGTCGCACAAGAGCGCGATTAATGAAACACCGCAATGGTCCGAACAAAAAAGAAAAAAAAAGGTCCGAACGAATCGGTCAAAGGGACTACAGGCGGTGGTAGTCCCTTCCGCTTCAGCAACAGAGAGAGAGAGAGAGAGAGAGAGAGAGAGAGAGAGAGAGAGAGAGAGAGAGACACGTGTCGTGAAGTTGGTCGTGTATTGCGCCATTTTTTGCGGCAGAGAGAAATGCAGAAGAAAAGCCGAAGGCAAGAGAAAAAGTCTTGGGCCGGGGACGAGTCCGAGGTTATAGACGAGGGGGTTTGAAGCGAGCCCGCGCGCCTAATTGCAATTAACAACTCGCCATTATTAGAATATACGACGCCTTGCAATGAGATAATGCAAATAAAACGAAAGTTTTAATTACTTTGCCGCTACGCCCGCCGGCGATCCGTTGTTACATCGCAGGATAATGGAAAGTTTACCGCGACAGCGCTACCCCGCCTCCGTTTTATCCGGCCTCAGCCCTCCTCTCACTCTTTCTCTCTCTTTCTCTCTCTCTCTCTCTCTCTCTCTCTCTCTCTCTCTCTCTTTCGTCCCACCAACTGCTTTGTTCGTATACCGTCTTTCTTTTTACTTACTCGTTTCCTCTATCGCTTGTCTCTATTTTCGCGTTCCCACCTGATCTTTTTGTCTCATAGATGTGTCCTGACGATATTTTCTCGTGCGCCGCGATTAAATCGTGAGTGATATTTTTGAACGGAAGAGCAAAATCTCTCTCTCTATCGAATTTATTTCCCCACACACTTATTATAACGCGTATTAATAATTCTCGAATCAAAATGCGACTAAATCCTCTTCTTGTCGAATGGATGCGAAACCTCGCGAAATTAATTCAAACGATCTCATTAACGATAATAAATCAATTTAAAAAAAAAGACATTTTTATTATCAAATCGTTGCCAAAAAAATGCATGTGTCTAGTTTTAAAGAAGCGAAAATAATTCAACTGAAAAAAAAAACGTCTCAGTTTAAAAGAAGGTTTTTTGTTATTGATCGTTGCCAAAGACTTACTGTGTCTGGTTTTAGAAAGAAATGTGAATAATTCAACCGAAACAACGAAAAAAAAAAAAAACGTCTCATGTAATACCAACATGGTTTTCTTCGCGCAAACGCGAAATACACTGTCAGAGAAAAAAAACAATAGTTCACACGACTTTCTGAAAGAGCGAGCGACGCTTATCAAATTGCCGCGACTTCCCGGCGAACTTCTATATTAGATACAAGTTTTGTAAAAATATCAAGAGAGAAGTGCAACGTGCGTGCGTGTGTGCAGACGCTCTGTCTTTTTTTTTTTGGCGAAACTTATGTTAGATGTCAAAGTCGTTAGGCGTGCCGCAATATCGGACGGAACCCAGGGGAGCCGATGGGGAATCGACGTTATTGTCATCATTGCATGACGTGGTATATCGATCTATTATTGACTGTCGCTTCGCGAGTTTTTACCCTTGCTCCGTGTTATACTTTTAAGCTCCTTGATGGTTGTTCTGGGTGTTCTACGTTTTACACGATGTTCTCGGTGTGTTTTCGTGTATATATATTATATATATATATATCTATTTATACATTTCTCTTCTCTAAAACATGACTGTGTGTCACAATATATTTTTATTTTTAACGTATTGTGAGGAGTTTTTTTTTTATTATATACAATAGCTCTCTCCTTTTCCTTCCTTGTTTTATCTTCTGTTTTGGTTTTGGTTTTGTTTTGTTTTGTTTTGGTTTTCCTTTTTACGTCAACGTATCTCTCGGATGTTCGTCGTATTAATTCGGTGTTTTCGCCGTTGCACTCGATGTCAGTGGCTGTGTTCTCGGTGTTGCGCTGTCGACCGATGTTGGTTGTTGCTTCGCTACGAAACGGTGATAATGTAACGTGTATTTACACAGAATCCCGCGGGGATCATCATTCGGGGACCTTAAATCCGTTTTGCAATCGGCAACGCATTTGCGATACTTCGAAATTCCGCAAAAGTTTTTATTTGTAAAATTTATACAACTCTCGATAATTTTAGATTGTCAAAGTATCTGTTTACGTGCAACGTGATACGTTATATATCGAATAAAAAATACGGAAGTATAAAGTATGTTTAAATTATTCGTTACACTATATAAACACGTTTCGCGAATTGTGTTAATTATGCAAATTAAGGCAACCGCGAATTTAGATACATCATAATAATGCCTCGGTATACTATGGTGTTGTACTATTACTTTTCAATGGGGGAGCAGACACGAAGTAGTCGTTCTCATTAAATTCGCGTGCACGTACCGCGTGTGCACCAATTAGAGAGGCGAAAACCAATTTCAGGATCAACGATCGCGCGCGCACGCCGCACGACGACGGGCTTTAATTTATGGCTCGTTCTTCGTGATTTCGTCGTCCACCCGCAGTTCCCCTCCGCCAGTACCCTCTAGTCGGAACCGGAAACCCGTCGACACTCGTGCTAATTTGGGTTTCGCATGACAGCCACGATCGAGTTATTACCGGGACGAAGTTGTTCGGCGCGGGGGTTACGGGAACGAGGAAGGGAATTTGTCACTCCTTGCGTAAACCGCGGGACAGATTTGCTACTTCTCGAGGCGCAAACAAGCACAGAACAACGTTAATTCATAATTGACGAGGTGTGAGAGAGCGAGTTTGCGTTTAAATCGACGCGATTTGCTTCGCGCGCGAAATGTCGTTTCTTTTCTGACGTTTAAAACTGACGTGGACGTGAACAACTTCGCGAGATCGCAAACGGAATGACGTGCGCGCGAATCACACGATGCTTATCGGAGAAAGACAGTCTTCTCTCTCGGGGAAAGTTTTAGTTCTCTCTGATAAAATTCGGTGACTCGGAGAGAAACTTTCGCAAGAACCGATTCGTGGTACTTTATCTTCGACGATTGCGATTAAAATTCTACCGCTCTCCCGCATACGATTCGTATGAAAATATTCTCGTAAAACTGTCATATAAAATTTCGTCTGTGTCGCAATTCAATTCTCAAAGTTCGCCGGGAAGATTCGCGACGATAATGTTATCGTCGTCGACCGACGCGGAGAAAACGTGTCCGCGTGGACAAGTCACGCGGGAACCGTCGCCGACGTAATACCGGAAGTCGTAATCGGACTTAAAATGGACAATTATATTATTCGACCAGCGTATTCTCGACGGGCTTCTCGGAGAAATCCTTTTCCGCGCGATATCTCTCGGAGGAGATCGGGGATCGAGCAGAGTCGCGATGAGTAGCACCCTAAAAGCCGAGTGGCAGCCATCTCATTACTTAAATGCGTCCGTTAGTCGGCCGGAGCTCTCTGTGCAAGAGAGCAGAAGTTTCCACAGTCATAATCGCCGCTAATTGACGTCGGAGTTATAAAGTTCAGTGAAATTAGCTAAATCTTTATTTGGAACCCGCGCCGCGAGCGCGTTGTTCAGCCGATCTTTCCTCTCTTCGCTTTTATACCCTCTCAGAGATTTTCTTCTCCGGTCAAATTAAACGATGTCTTTGGCATTTTAACACCGGATGTCGGAAGAGACGGGGAGAGAGGGAGGATAAAAGATCTACTCGAGCTTAACTGCAGGATGTTCACGATTACATATCTGAGATGTTTAATTGGGAAAATTGTATTAGCACAAGATACGTAGAAGTACAAAATGTAGTAATTTTAAAGCTTCCACATAAGTTCTTAAGATAATTACGTTAGATATCCATCCATCAGGAGGTGTTATATTTATGTTACTTTGTATTAACTTTGTTCGTAATTTTGTAGTGTAATTTGCAAGAGAGAGAGGGAGAGGGAGAGAGAGAGAGAGAGAAGAGGCGAGAGTTTCCGCGCAGGGTGACGGCACACTTGGATTATTTAGGATGCGCATATATATACATATATATGTATATATATATATATATATATATATATATGTATATAAAAAAAGAACCAAAAAAACAAAAAGCGATGGATTATCGTGTCTGGCGGGAGTACGGAATATTTTTGTGATGTCATCATCGTCACCATATTCAAACCCATTTACTCATCTTACTAATTATAATCCATCACCTCATCTGTCATTGTGTTGTAATGTCCCAGTGTTGTGTTGTGTTGTGTGTATGTGTGTACAAAAAAAAGTATAAATACTCAACGTTAAATCGCGAAAGATTTTTACATTCACGACCAGAAACAGTCGTGGTGACTAATTTTTTTTCCAATCACTCGCATTCAATTATTCGATCATTCTCGATCGTTTATTTTCTGCCGCTCACTCTCTCGCGGTTTGTTTAACTTCTCAACGTTTGACTCATGTATTATCACATCATTCAAAATCATGTTGTACGTCATCATCATTTTGCACTCGGAGAAAGATATCATTGTTGTCATTCACACAAGTCGGGTTTCATCTTCATTCATCCAAAAAAAAAAAAAAAAAAAAAAAAAAAAAAAAAAAAAAAAAAAATATAACACACAAAGAAAGGATGTGATGCAAAACAAACAAGCAAAAAAAAAAAAATAAATAAAAATAAAATAAAACCCGTCGGCGCCCTCGCTGGCGGGTCGAAGATNAAAAAAAAAAAAAAAAAAAAAAAATACGACTTCAGACGATAAGAAAGGATGTGATGCAAAACAAACAAGCAAAAAAAAAAAAATAAATAAAAATAAAATAAAACCCGTCGGCGCCCTCGCTGGCGGGTCGAAGATGTCATGTCGCGCGAAATCGCTCGTACTTGCGAGGAGGGGAGCAGAAGTCATCCAGAACTAACATCCTAACTTGAGTATTATACTTTAAGTTTAGGTGTTTAGATGTGCTCTGATTTATATGGTAGGATGCTCTATCTCAGGACCCGAGGGCTGCAACCTGTTCATCTACCACCTGCCCCAGGAGTTCGGTGATGGCGAGCTCATGCAGATGTTCCTCCCATTTGGCAACGTCATCTCCTCCAAAGTCTTCATCGACCGGGCGACCAACCAGAGTAAATGCTTCGGTAAGTAAGGGTTAGGGTTGACGAACAAATTTCGGATCCGCTATCGCGAGCGAGAAGTTCGCGTCGCGCGATAAAAGACGCGTGATCGAACATTTTGACAGTGTCTCTGTGCAAAAGTAATACAAACAAAACGCTGTGTAAAAACGGAGAGAGACGTGTGCAGCATTGAAATACGTGAAATTTTAATTTGCCTTATCTTGTACAGTAAGAGTTTAATGAAAGGTATATCTCCTCGTCGAGATGAATATCAAAAACCACGCGTGGGGAAAAAACAGCGTTGATTTCGCTTGAAAGTATAAAAGTACGATGCGACTGCGCGTGTATCTGTGATTATGATTATGACTTTCAATCAGTCACAAGCAGTGCCAGCGCTCTAAATGACTCCACACGTTTCCAATCAGTGGTGGATTAATCATGGAAATTCAATTCGTCCCGTATTAGCGAACGGACCAGGCGGACTGAATATGAATGCGTGTTTCAGCACAGGACCAAAATCAAACCGAGGTTTTTTTTTTTTTTAAGGGACCGCGCGCGGAGATAACCGAAACAGAGAATACGGATAAAAGCCGCCGGCATTCCTTTGATTAATCGTATCCGAGGGTATATACGGATAATTGGACGGTCCCATTCGCGTCTGTTCGGTCCTTGGTGCGCGTACGCGCACGGTTTGTACACACACACATATATATATATATATATATATATATAATATATATATATATATATATTTGCGCTCGTATATCTATTTGTCTCCTCTCCTGTTTCAGAGACTCGTCGTAGTAACTCTCGTCCGCGAAAGAGAAATATTACGAACTCGTAACGATGCGTCATTATATTCGCGTTTAATTATGCTCATTTTTCCGTATCGTCGTGCGCGTAATTACGCCCGCGGCGAAAAAACTACGCACACGGAACTTCGTTTCCCGTCGCCGCGATCGGTCAAAGGGCTCTTTGATACGACGAGATAATATCGCGGAGAAACTCTCAACGCGTAATTATAATCGATTGGGAGAAAATTTTCTCTTGTGGAAAGGGGAGGTTGTGGGAGAGGGGAGAGGTTGCGAGATATATAACCGGAGAACTTGGAACATAGCTTTAGCCCTTCTTTACGACAATCTCCCGCGGGACGAGAGGTTAAAATAATCAGGGTGCCCTTCGGCCGTGAAGTAAAAGTAATTTGCGGAGCAGAGCTTAGCACGGGGGCGGACGAAAGATGAAGGACCTGGATTGGTCAGACGGTTTAGGCCGCCATGTTGGCGAAACTAAAATGGGATCGACGCTAATGGTCAAAATTGGCTTAAACCGAGAAATTTGTGACGATCTCTCAGGAATGTTTCTGCTGAGAAGTTCCGTTATCGTGTATCTGTTCTTCCGGTGAAACTTGGACAATATCTAGAAAGAGAACAAATCCTTATTTGTCCCAAGAAATCTGGTTTGTTTGTAGACTGTCGTTTGACCTTTTCAAATAGTCGAAAGCTTTTCATCTTTTTGATTATATTCGAATATTGTTATTTTTTAATTATTGGTCGAAATAATTCATTACTTGGTTTCTCTCTGTTATGCGTTTTATTGTGATAAAAAATACTTATTGCTTATACTGTCACTAATTGTACGTACTCAATTTATTTATGGCGATCTTTAGACTTTTAGGTGAACCCTCAGCACTCTTAATTTTTTTTCCTTTACACAAAGTTCACGCGTAACAAAAATGATCTTTTACATAATAATGAAGAAGTTTCTTTTGTTAAGGAGTATATAAAAGCTGTCACACATGTCGCAGCACATCCAACATTCGGTATTTTCAGGTTTTGTGTCGTTCGATAATCCCGCGAGCGCGCAAACGGCAATCCAAGCGATGAACGGCTTCCAGATAGGGATGAAACGGTTAAAAGTGCAGTTGAAGAGGCCCAAGGACGCCAGCCGGCCATACTAACCCCCGTCCTATTTTAGTAAATCTGGACGGTCGTGCTCCTGGGTCTTAAGTTGTACAGTAAGTTTCTTTCTCTTTTTTTTTTTTTTTATTATCGCGAAAATAAATGCTCATCTAGACCTTTCCCCTTCCCGCAGATGATGATAATTTTATAAGAGCAGCTTTTTGTTCAAGTAACATTGTTGAAGCATGAATGGCAATAGCGCATATCGCATTTTACGTGCATACTTTTTTTTACATTTGTGCCGTCATTTTGAATTGTAGGCGTTCGAGGACGAGGATTTGACGGACTTGATGAGTTTTGGATCACTGTGACAACGCTCTCCACCATACCAACTTAATATATTTAGCATAGCTAGTTAATTCATTAGAGGATAAAAAGTTAGAGGTCAGTAGGGCACAGTGACGGCTTCAACGTCTTTGAAGTTCGCGCAGCGACGGCGAAGAGGCTGAAGCGAAAAGCAAATGAAAGATGTTCCGCGCTGAACCTATTTCGAGGAAGAACAGTCGGAGGAAGAGAAGAGGATGAGGGCGCAACGCTGAGAGACCAAACGTTTTTCTCGGATGTTCCGATATAAAACCGGATATCGGCTTTTTCCCTCTTTCTCCTTTCCATTTTTCCTTTCTCTCACTTCGAGAGAACCTGCGTGATTCTTTCTTTGTATCCTCCGCGAAGTTTAGCCTCCGACATCCTACTGCCATGTGGAAGATCGCGTTCGAGCTCGAAGACGAGGGACGCAATATGGACACGAGCGTGCAGCTGAACGTGTTTGCGAACGTCTCGAGGAGATCTCAATCACATCCCGAAGAGATCAACCGAGAGCACAACGGAAGTCCCGGCCGAGCTCGTCGTTCCGATACCGCCGTTACAGTCACAATCGACAATAGCTATGCGCGAGGGTATTCCCCGTCGAGAAACGCCTCCAGAACTCTCGTCGTGCTCGTTGCCGATCCGACGAAGCGCGAAGGTATGCAAAAAAGAAAAAAATGGAAAAATCGGAATCCTACTGTATATCCGATCCGATTCGGGTTTCTCCAGAATCGGGATTTTTTTTCGGATTCCGATCGTACCGGATTGTCGCGTCCGTCGGCCGGGATGGAAGAGCTCAGTGATCACCGCGAGAGGCCGAAAAAAAAAAAAAAAGAAACAAATCTTTTGTACCACACAAAGCGAAACGTGCTAATCATTAACGATGAAGATAATAATATCCGCGTCGCTGACGAAAGTATAAAGAATAATAAAACGCAGGTTTGTCCCGAGAGACGCGGACGAGAGATCGGCATCTCTCTCCCCAAAAATATAAGAGACAAATGTCAATCATATACACTATACAGGGTGCTCGACTGACAAAAAAAAACACACGCGTCTGAGAAATTTAAAGAAAAAAAACGAAAAAAAAAAACCAAAAAATATACAAAGTAACACACACTCAGAAATGATCCAGCGGTGAACATCATACGGGGCTTAGGCGCCAATCGGATAATCCCCGTTGGTTCTTAACATTTAAGATATAAGCACACGTAAAACAGCGCGTTGTAGGTTTTATATACTATGGATAAAGAAAAAAAGGTGGAGAGAGAGAGAGAGAGAGAGAGAGAAAGAGAGAAAACAGGACATGGCACGCGTGCCGCGCACTGAAGACGAGATGCTTGTCTTCTTGTGGCACGCGTTTTTTAAGACGCTCGTCCTCCTCGACTAATAGCACTTATTACTATTACAATTCTGACGATCCTTGTAATTAACGCTAAGCAAAGAGTTTTGAAGCCCTCCCAATCAAGTATATATCCTACTTCCGTTTTGGTTCTTGCGCGAACATCGCTCCCCCTCCCCCCTTCTCGTTCGTCCACGATCGAGACGAATCGACTTCGATCGATTCGGAACTTAACTTTGACCGATCGGCACAAGCATCGCCCGGGAAATGTCAGCTAGGCTGTGATTGTCCAGAAAAAAAAAGCGAGCGCGACGTTAGAACGAATGACGACGGTCGCTAACGACGGTCCTCTTTCTGTGTTTCGATGTTGCAATAATAGAATGTATACATAATAGAGTTATGTTTTATGTTGTGTAGTAAAAGAGAGAAAAGAAGATAAAAAAGAGATAAAAAAAAGAAGACACGCGAAGAAGAGATGAAGTGCACGAGCAAAGAAAGATAAAATATTAGAAATTTGTATTTGCATCATGTGACGCGCGCGAAAAGAAAAAAAAATAAAAAGAAATTTTGTGTATGTTTCGTTTGATGTGTGTGCAGATCGACATCATGAGTAACTCCGAAGAGACCATTTTTTTTTCCTTCGAGAGAAAAGAGGGAACCGCTGTCGAGTGCAGATTCGATACGCCTATCGATCAATCGTGCGTGTTCATACGGAATTCCTGTGACTGAAATAGACAAAACATTGAGCATTTCGCGCGCGATGCCCGATCGGATGCGCAATAGCGTCTCAGAGCGATTTGTACGAACGTTCGCGGAAGAAAGCCAGAGAGAGAAAGAGAGAGAGCAGAGGGTAGGGGCGGGTGGGAGATATAAAGGTTGAGACAGACCGAGAATATATAAAACTACACGTAGGATATAGGCGATAGGGTAGGCGAGCGATGGAGCGGAGAGCAAAACTCAGATCTAGCGGAAATAATCTACCAAAGTACCAACAACTGACACATATATATATATATTATACATATATACATATATAAATACATATATAAATATTATAAATATATATATGAATTATTGAGAGAAGAGAGGAAGTATATATATATATATAAATATATATAATATAAATATAAATATTATATATATATATATGAAATATATAATATTATATACATATATATATATACATATTGATTATACATATATGCGCGTACGCACACGCACCTCTCACGTAAACGAGGTGTGCAATGTCCGTATACGCAGTATCGATTCAACACAAGAACTAGAGAACTTTAGTGTAAATTATTCTTAGCGTTATCTAAAATCACAACATGTAATGAATTTTTATGCGGGAGGGGGCACGTGCTGAGGGAAACGAGAAGGCGAGTGTTTAGTGAGAGAAAACGAAATGAAACTGCTTAGCCCGGTGCGACGCGCAACTAATATAGTTTACGTTTATATATTGCATTATATATATAGTATATATACATAACATATATATGTTGTACCTATACTATTTTTTTTTCCTTCGTTTTGGACGAGCAAGAAATCTTCTCGTTTTACAATCCGCTCCGCGAATTTGTTGCTCGTCCATACTATAACGCCGCGTTGCGCGCGCGCGCGTTTACACGTGCGTATTTCACGCGCGACACACGTGCGCGATTAACAACCGGTGAATTCGCGCGCACGTGCGCGCGTGTGTAATCGCGCGTGCACACGTGTTGTACACACACGTACGAGGCTAATTATATACGACGAAGTGAGAAGCGCTTGGAAGAAGAACTTGCTAGTTACCGACGAATATGTGACGATATATAATTATTAAGATATCATATATATATACATAAATATATATATATATATATATATATATATATATGTATGTATATATATATATATATATATATAAAATTAACGGTAAACAAAAAACCGAATACACTGAAGCGAAATTGACAAAGATAAAGGAATAATAATGATAACGATTATTTATGGTACGTATACATAACTTATACATTACGATACATGCGCATATATTCTTGTCATTTTTAGAGAAGGTTAAATTTATATATAATATATATACATACATACACATTGAGAGAAAAAAAAAGAGGGAGGAAGCTATTAACGACGTCGGGCGTAGTTGACTTTAACGCGACGGGAGACTCGCGGATATTCACAGGAACACGTGTGTGTGTGCGGAAAGTTCATCGTGATATTATCAATGAGAGAGATCGTGCGGATAAATCTTGGTGTGGTACACTTTTCACAACGCGTGCACGGATACAAAGTGGAAGTGAACGACGAGTTGGTTCTTTTTCATTGCGTGTTGTACAATTTGCGTAACACGTGCAAATGTTGATTTTATCAGAAATAGGAGAGAAAAAAATCACTCAAATTTGATACGTACATATTCCAACAATGAGAAAGCATGACAGACACTCTAAAAAAAAAAACAAAAAACAAAAAAAACAAAATCTCGAAAATATTAAATTACAGTTTTGGAAGAAAACATTGCGCGCGAGACGTTGTTCCCTGCTCGTGATTTCGGCGGCAGTTCGAATTAACGGGCAATCGCTATTCTCCGTGGAAACCGCATATATGCACACACATGGCCGGAGTCCATGAATCCTCGGTACACGAGAGCGCGTGTAAACATAATTAGGAAGCGCGATCGGTCGCTGCGCCGTCCGTGTCTAACTATCTTTGCACGCTTGTAGGACGCCCGTCCTTTGGCAGGACGCATCCATCGCGAACGTTTCGCTTCACACGGATGACCGTCGCTCGCTTTGTACACATGCACGAGTAACGGTGTGACACACATGCGCCAAATACGATTACGAGATGAATGGATCGGATCGGACCGAAAGTGGATTACACGTTTATCTACGATTCTCCTTGTAGTCCGCGGATTGGCGCGTCGATCCATGGATCGACGTAGAAGATTAAGTCGAACGGTTTCTCCACCCCCCGTCCGGGGTGGATTTTCTCATTCGAGAGACCGTAATCACACGCAGAGAGTAGCGCAAGCTCGAACAGCGATCTTGCCGCGTTTTCTTTCACTTGGATGTCGTTCACGTTTTTACAAAAAAAAATTCCAAAACTCGAGAGACGCTCGCGGGAAATTGGTCAGATGAATCGTAAGGGAAAATCCCGCGTTGCCGCGTCTTGCGCGGCGGTGACTGTGGAGTGCCGCGTTCTTTGTCGCGTCATCGAATTTCGATGTGAAAACGACGCGGGAGAGAGAGGGATGTCGGGTTCCGGTCGAACGTTTTTTTTATTATTTCTGTTTTTTGTGCCGCGCGCGAGTGTCTCGCGCAAGAGCGGTGGATAGTTCGATTCCTCCCGTGAAATTATTCGCACGCGTTCTTCGCTCTCGTGGGAATTGTGCAAATTTTGGAGAGAACGAGAGAGACAGAGAAAGAGAGAGAGGAAGAAAATGAGATTACTTTTTTGGATGACAAACGCAAACAAGTCCACTTGAAAGAAATCGCAGAGCGACGCGCAGTAGTGCGGACCCGAATGTAGAATTTGCGGAAAAAGAAAGTGGTTGTCAGATCGCGCCAACACACGTGAATTCGCAAAGACATTGTACATATACATGCGCGCATCGCGCGGCTCTCCCTCTCACATGCATTTATATACATACACACGTATACATACTTCATTGCGAACGACACTCTTTGACACTTGTATAACACACACACATACACACACACACATACAGTAAGAGACACATATACCGGAATGGATGCTTGCACGCAAGCACCGATTGATAATATCACTACAATCTAAGCTTTTTAAAGTCTTAACAATACCAATAGCGAATACCAAGAAAAAAACTTCAACACTCACCCCTCCCTAAAGTAAATGAAATAAAATACCATAATGGATAACGATAGATACATACAAATATAAATATACATAATATAAATAATATAAATACGAAGTTAACGACGATTGTAAACAAACCAAAAAAAAAAAAAAATGCAACTATTTTATCCAAAGTTTTTGCTACAACCGAAGTAGTATGCATCTTGTGTGCTAATAAAGTATATAAAATGAGACTTAAGGGAAATAAGAAAAAAAAAAAGAAGGATATTCCTAGCTCTAAGGAGAAATAATGATATGATATAATAAATATAAATATAAAATATATATAGTAATCTGTGAGGATCAGCTTCGAATTTATTTTTACATGACGTGATCGTAATGCTGAGACGAATTCGAGATGCTCGCGATTAAATGTTCCGAATTCTAGAAGATGCGACGTGCGAATCCCAGGCGTCAAAATGCAACCGCGTCCTAGGATGGAGTTCGCGACTCCGTGGGGTGATTCAATACGCCGTTACATACATCGCCGTTACGTTTGTTCACGCATCTCATCACAAGATATATCTGTCGTATTGTAACAAAACAAACTTGCTGACTACAAACAAAAACTCTTGTATAGGTTTAAGATAAAAAAAAAACAAAAAAAAACAAAAAAAAACACGATAAAGTATGAGATTAAGATACGTAAAGATCAAGATAATTGCAAGAAATAGTTTAAACAATGAGACTACTCTTTCTATTTAAGA